GTTGGGGCAATCTCCACAACTTAATCGGAGGCTCCCAACAAAACCACGAAGCTTCACCACAATGGACTATGGCTCCGTGGTGACCTCAACCGTCTAGGGTGCTCAAACACCCAAGAGTAACAAGGTCCGCTAGGGATGAGTGGGGGAATTGAAAATCCCTTGGTGGAAGTGTAGATCGGGGCCTTCTCAACCACTCCCGAGCAAATCAACAAGTTTGATTGGCTAGAGAGATAGATCGGGCGAAAATGGAGCTTGGAGCATTTAATGGAGCTTGAGCAATAAATGGAGCTTGGGGGAGGAAGAGGTAGGTCAAAGAGAAGAAGGGGACTCCCTTTTATAGTGGGGGCAACAATCCAACCGTTGCCCCCCACCAACCAGCCCCGCACAGGGCGGTACTACCGCTAAGAGGGGGCGGTACTACCGCTAGGTCAGCGGTACTGCCGCACCAGCCAGCGGCACTTCCGTGCAGAGGAGACTAGTAGGGAATAGGACCCAACGCGGTACTACCGTGGTGGTAGGGGCGGTACTACCGCTCCTGCAACGGTACTACCGCCTCTACAACCGCAACTAGTGCCGCAAAACCGGACATGAGAAAAAGACCCCTCGAGTCGAGGCGGTAGGAGCCAGACAGCCCAGCGGTACTACGGCAGCAGGGTCACGGGCGGTACTACCGCTGTGGAGCGGTACTGCCGCTTGTGACCCTTCGGTCGTACTACCGCTGGTAGTGCGGTACTACCGCTGGGACACTGAAGAGAGAGAGAGAATCTCTCCAATGAGGCTGAGGACGAGGCGGTGGTGCCAGGCACCCCAGCGGTGCTACTGCTGTGGAGACAAGGGCGGTACTACCGCTGTGGAGGGGTACTGCCGCTTGTGTCTCCTCAGCGGTACTACCGCTGGGTTTCATGGTACTACCGCTGGGACCCAGACAGGACAAGGAAAAGAGGAGAGATCTCTACAATGGAATGGAAAAGCTCGGAGGGTGAGAAGCTGATGTGTACATGTTGATTCCACCCATGCAATACCCCAGCGGACCCCCTCTTGATAGTACGGTGCCCTCTACGCAACTAGTCCACCGAGAGAGAAACGAAAGAGCTACACCCCTCTTCTCCGCCACCATCTTGAAGGGAAGGAAACGTCTCGTGCCAGGGGTGAATCTGTGAACTATTCAAAGCACATGATTAGTCCGCAAACATGTTATCATCAATCACCAAAACTACCTTGAGAGAGATATGCCATAACAGAAAGGCCAATGCGAACCTCCATTGGCCCAAAATGCCCAGATTACCTTTTTTAATGAAAAAGAACATAGTTTTCTTATAAAAACAAAGTACACATAAAATATATAATTGCCATGATATAAATAATATGAAAAATGGCATGTTACTTTACAAAAAATGCCATGATAATCTATAATTTTACGAATGGTATGAATTCCACCGTGTAGATGTTTCGCAGTAAAAAACATGTTTGCGAGAGCGTTTTTTCCTTTATCTTTGTCAATGACCAAAAAAATGCCATGATGTAATTTTTTGCTTGATTTGTTCCACTGTGCAAAATATATTAAAAAATGTCATATCAAGGACAAAAAATGGCATGCCAATAAAAATAAAAAGCACCGTCCTCCTAATAATAAAACCGTCATTCTGTTAACAATTAATAAAAAATGCCAGTCCAAAAAATGTCATCCTCCTAACAAAAAAAATGACATGTCAACAATAATAAAAAATGTATGCTCTATAATAAAATTGTAATCCTCCTATAATAAAAATGTCATGTCAATAATAACAAAAATGGCATGCTCTATATAATAAAACTTTTATCCTGTTAATAATTAAACTGCCATCCTCCTGATAATATAAATGTACTTTTTTAATGGGCCATATATACCGGGACTACTGACTCTCACAGTATCGGCTCAATTTATTTCAATACTGGTTTGGGTTGAACACCCTAAAAAAAGAGTCCTAAACGTATGGCCTATATGTCGTTTTTCCAATTTATCTGGGAAAAGAATGTAGTTTGTAATAAACGATCCATTCCTAGCGACCAAATAATATTTTCTTTGTGGTAGTAATCAAATAATCCAACCCAAATTCTACAAAAACTTAATCCAAACACACACGCCTAGGCAACTATTCAACGCTAATTTTCTGACCAACCAATTCGCAAAAAAGATGGACCGGGTAGCTCCGGGCTCTACACCTTTAGTCTACCTCTCCCGCCCTACTTCTTTCTCTTCGTCCTCGCATTGGTTCTTCCTTCCCCAGTTCCCCTATTTGCCGGCTTGCGAGTGTTCGCTTGCTATTCTTTTCCCTACACTACCTATAAATAAAGGACCCAAATAACTGGCATTCGATTGCCAGGGAGGAGGGTTGATCGAACGAAGTGGTCGCCAAGGGGGCAGTCCCAGCGAATGTAACGCCCTCCCCTCAATCGGTCGATACGGAAAGGCCAATGCGAACCTCCATTGGCCCAAAATGCCCAGATTACCTTTTTTAATGAAAAAGTACATAGTTTTCTTATAAAAACAAGTACACATAAAATATATAATTGCCATGATATAAATAATACGAAAAATGGCATATTACTTTACAAAAAATGCCATGATAATCTATAATTTTACGAATGGTATGAATTCCACTATGTAGATGTTTCGCAGTAAAAAACATGTTTGCGAGAGCGTTTTTTTCCTTTATCTTTGTCAATGACCAAAGAAATGCCATGATGTAATTTTTTGCTTGATTTGTTCCACTGTGCAAAAAATATTAAAAAAATGTCATATCAAGGACAAAAATGGCATGTCAATAAAAATAAAAACCACCGTCCTCCTAATAATAAAACCGTCATTCTGTTAACAATTAATAAAAAATGCCAGTCCAAAAAATGTCATCCTCCTAACAATAAAAATGACATGTCAACAATAATAAAAAATGTATGCTCTATATAATAAAATTGTAATTCTCCTATAATAAAAATGTCATGTTAATAATAACAAAAGTGGCATGCTCTATATAATAAAACTTTTATCCTGTTAATAATTAAACTACCATCCTCCTGATAATATAAATGACTTGTCAGCAAATAATGAAAATGCCATGTCCCCTATAATAAAACTAACATCTAATTAATAATGAAAATGCTATATTTCTAATAATAAAAATGCCATGTTATTAATAATAAAATGACATGCTCTTAATAATAAAATCCATCCTCTTAATGGTAAAAATGGCATCTTATTACTTATTAAATTACAAATTTCTTATTAATAAAAAACTTCCATGTGGCCTATAATAAAAGTGACATGGTACCTATAAATAAAAAATGCAGGTGGAATGATAGAAAAAAATTCCCTTTGAAAAAGGGATTTTTGTTCTTTAAAATTGTAAAAAAATCAGATTTTCAAACTTTTTAAAATTAAAAGTTGAATTTGTGGACAAATTTAGTTTAGAAAACATATAAAGAGTTTTGGTCCCAAAATGTTGACAACACTCTATTTATAGTCTAGTGGTAAGCCGACCGCCCACTAGGAAGGAGTTGCCGGTTCAATCCCAATTTAGCACGATTCACTGTGCGGCTTATTGGACCGTGTGACACACAAGGATTATGATATGTGAGTTCATCTCATTTCGAAAAAAAAATATGTGGGTACATCACGGGGTTAGTACCATTGGCGGGCCGGTGAGTCGTGGCTCACCCAGAATTTGTAATTTGGCTATTTCGGCCAATAAACCTACAGTCCTAAAAACCCAATATCCCGCACTGTCTATTTTTCTCCCACTATGTAAGAGAGGGTGACATTAATCGGCCGTCCACCGTTCAACTAGACCCTCCCCTCACCTCGCCGCCACACCCTTCCTCTCGTCGCCGCTGCCCCCTCCCCTCAAGGGCCCAATAGGTGCACGCCATCGCGACATCGCTCCCCTCCCCTCCGCTGCCGCTGCCGCTTTGTTGTGAGACTTGATTGGCCTATTTATGTTATGCTTTTGCCTAGTATCATATTATGACATTTGGATTGTGCAGATATTTTTTTGAGTGTGCACACCCTTCATGCCACGGGGGTCGCACGGCCTTGTAATTTTTGGAAAGAGCAAAGCACGTCCGCCAGGGGTCAGCTGATAGCGAACGACTTTAGCAATCCTATAGGACCAGGGGGCGCGTCAAGATCCGTGCAACGGCGGAGAGAGCGTTCGCCAGGGTTGGGCCCCAGCGAACGTTCGCCAGACAGTATTTCCGTAAATTAACCTATATGTACCCCCACACTAATAAAATCACCAGCGCAGTGAAAAAGCGAGTGGTGGCCATGATACCCTGCACGAACCTTTGTTGTGAAAAGTGAACCTTTATTCTGAAAAGTTACACGCCAAGAAGGCAAAGGATGGGACGCCGCGAGCAACGACGACCTCACATGGGGATATTTCGGTCCGTCCACGCGCGCCGCGTCATGTGTCCATCCCTCGGACACACACCGTAGCCGCTCACGGCGACAAGTTCCACGAACCAGGCCGGCAAAGGAATAAATAAACCGGCCCGCGACAGACGCAGACGTGGCCGGTGATTCACGCGAGCTGCTGACTTCTCTCGAGCACCGAGGAAGCTGCCCGCCCGGCGGGACGCGGAAAAGTCCGCCCCTACACCGAGATTCGCATCGCGCGCATCCGGCCGTACGCTTGCCCATCGCCGCGAAGCCACGCCTGGCCGACGCGCCGCCCCACGCAACCGGGAGAAGAGAAGACAACGCGCTCGCCGCGTACTGATATGACTCCGCCTCCCCGCGGCGGAGTTACTCCTCCACTTCTTTATCCGGAAGGAGGGAGGATGGTCGGTGCGCTCCGTCGTCCGTAGCGCGTGCCCGCCGGTATTAATACCCCAGAGCCCACCGCAACCTCCACCCATCGGAACATTCAAGTTCAAGCTCCCTCATCTCCATCACTACAACCAGCCACCTCAAGCTTTGAAGCTCAGCTAGCTCGCCGCGACCGTCGAGTCTCAAGTCTTGGGCCATGTCGAGCGGCGGCGGGAAGCAGCAGCAGCAGCAGCAGCAGGCGAAGAAGCCGGCGGCGGCGGAGGACATCGAGATCAAGAAGGTCTTCTCGCGCTTCGACACGGACGGCGACGGCCGGATCTCGCCGTCGGAGCTGGCCGCCGTGTCGCGCGCCATCGCGCCGCCGGCCACCGAGTCCGCGCAGGGGCGGGAGGTGGCGTCCATGATGGACGAGCTCGACACCGACCGCGACGGCTACGTGGACCTCGGCGAGTTCGCCGCCTTCCACGGCCGCGGCCGCGGGGAGCGCGAGCTGGACGCCGAGCTGCGCGACGCCTTCGACATCTACGACATCAACGGCGACGGCCGCATCTCCGTCGCCGAGCTCAGCAAGGTCCTCAGCCGCATCGGCGAGGGGTGCAGCACCGAGGACTGCGAGAAGATGATCGCCTCCGTCGACGTCGACGGCGACGGCTGCGTCGGCTTCGACGAGTTCAAGAAGATGATGACCGGCGACGTCGCCGGCGCACCACCTCAACCCGAAGCGACCGCCGCCCCTGACAGCAACAAACCCAAGGAGTGATACATGCTTGCTTGTAAATTCGTAGTAATGTGAAGGGGGCGAAGGGAAGGTGTATGTTAATTGTCTGTACCTGTTGGGCATAGTGTTCTGGTCTGAAGATGGTAAAAATTGGGAATAAGGATCAATGTGCAATTGCCACTCTTGTGCTGTACCTCTAAGGTAACGGCTGTGTGTGCACGCTACTCGTAGTAGTACGTACTACTAGATATTTTCTCCTAGTGTGGGCATCTTGCCACTTCATTTTCACATGAGAATGGATTTATCAGTTCGGTCAGTGCGATGTTGATGTTGAAGGGTGATGATACCCAATGCATCGTCAGCAATATTTATATTGGCACTTGACAATGCATGTATTGTTATTTTCAAGATGTTGAATATTTTTAAGCATATATGCTTTAAAATGATTTCATGGGGACTCCAACGAAAATTAATTATATTTCCTTGGCTTTAAAATTTTGATATGCATTATTATCCGCTGAACCAGGGGACCCCGGCGTAGATTGAGACACCACGGCTGCGGGGGCAGCGTGGGGGTGGCCGGAGGTGTTGGCGTGCGTGGCGGGGGGATTCTGGTAGGCTGCTGCTTGTTGTGGATCCCGGATGCCTATGCGGCGGCCCGGCGGGTCTTTGCCCTGGTGAGGCGAGGATGGGCAGGCGTCGTGGCGGGATGTAACACCCCGGATGTAACTTTCTCAATTTGTACTCCAACTCTTGCCGTTTCCGGCGTTAAGTTATATTTATTTCTCGGGTTCGGGTCTTTGTCTCCGTGTGTTGTTTTCTTTGTCATGCATCTCATATCATGTCATCATGTGCATTGCATTTGCATACGTGTTCATCTCATGCATTCGAGCATTTTCCCCGTTGTCCGTTTTGCATTCCGGCGCTTCGTTCTTCTCCGGTGGTCTTTTCTAGCTTTCTTTCGTGTGTGGGGATTAAACATTTCCGGATTGGACCGGGACTTATCATGCGGCCTTGGTTTACTACCGGTACACCTCCTGTCAAGTTTCGTACCATTTGGACTTCGTTTGATACTCCAACGGTTAACTGAGGGACCGAAAAGGCCTCGTGTGTGTTGCAGCCCAACACCCCTCCAATTTGGCTCAAAACCCACCAAACTCTGCTCCATGTCCTAGAGCGTTCGATCACGATCGCCTGGCCGAAAACCGCACCTCATTTGGACTCTCCTAGCTCCCCCTATGCCTATAAATAGACTCCCCGAAATTCGGATCTCTCCCCCTCTCCGAAACCCTAGATCCATTCCCCACGCCGCCGCCGGACAAAAATTTGCCGGGCCGGACATGTCCGACCCGACCTCCGCCGCCGCCCGCAGCCAGTGGCGAGCCGCCACGTGGCCGCCGCGTCCCTCACCCGCCGCCGGCCCGGGAGGCCCAGGAGGGGCCCCCGCGAGCCCATCCATCGCGCCGCCGCCCTTCGCTGCCATCCCCGCCGCCTCTTCCAACTCCGG